CGGATAATCCGCGCGAAATTAAAAAGTAAATTGGATTAGTAAAGGAGAGGACATACCGTATTTCACCGTGCAAGGTACTTCCCTGGATTTGTACTCTTGATTTTACTTCCCTGGTTTTTTACCGAGTACATAAGTACATTTCAAGGCTATTTGTTGCGGTGTTTTGTAATATACCCAGATACACGATTTAATAATAATATTTTTTTCCTAATGAGCAAATATCGGAGTAGGGTTGGCAATTGAGCCCAATGGAGCTCAATGGAGTCCAATGGGGCTGTGAATGGATCCAATGGGACTCTGAATAGAGTCAATGGATACTAGTTTTTTTGATCCCCATTCATGATGTAATCATCGACTCCATTGCTAACCTTGCTGGAGGGTATAAATCAAATTTTTATCGTGTGAAATATAAATACTCGGATATCTTGCATGGCACATATTTTGCAAAAAAAAAAAATTTCTTTCCTAGACGGGATTTTAAGCCGCATCTTTTTTTACGCAGCACTTTGTTGTACTATGCACAGTAATGAAACTATACTAGGAAAATTCCTATACATTCGTGCCGTTATAATCGGAGTAAATGATAAGAATTCTCATTGATTATATCTATCAGTGTACATATAAATGACAGTATTGTACCTATTAATGGAACCAATGGAGGAGCCGCAGCATTGCCATTATATATATATATGTATCGTCATCTTACGCTAGCCGAATATAATTGTATAAAATAGTTACACGCCATAATCTGCAAAAATATAAATATTCATTAGTAATGATGGCAAAAGAAAACATGAACGAAATATTTTCGACCGATCTGAATCTAAATGATCAAAACAAGTCATCTTTCTATTCAGAAGATGATATTCCAACCGAACTAGAGCTACCAAAATTACCATACCCGCCTGAAATTAAAGCTAGCGAATTGGTCAGGGATTTGCTATTAAAATATGAATCAAAGTCACCAAAAATGTTGAATGAATTTTTTATTTATCGAAAAGCATTTGTTCAAGCATTCAAGAAAGAGAAACTTCGACCAAAGATGACACATGTATCTTCGTTGGCATCTGCATCTTGGCATAAGGAGTCATCTGATGTAAAAAATGAATATAGAAAAATTGCTCGTGAAGCTGAGCAATTGTATATAAATGAGAGAAAAAAAAGGCAACAGTCACAAACTACTGGTAAAAGGCAAACATCAGATTCTGAAATAACATCTACTTCAACTTCACCAGAATCAACTTATGATCCCGTTTCCGGTCCTTCACACAATATGGTTGTCAATGTTGCGCCTGAACCATCATTCATTGATGCTAAACCAGATAATTCATATTTGCATATATCGAATCAAGATAAACTTACGGAATTTTCTAATGTATCATCAGTATTCAATAGTTCTTATGGTCCTACTTCATATGAAGATACACCCAATTACTATCCAGAATTCACAGAGCAAATCATGTATACACAAAATCAACAACCTATGATGCATCATGAAACTTCAATTCCGCTTACCAATATAAATTTTGGCTTGCCATATCAACCGATAATTTCGTATAATTCTAGTAATTCTGGGACACGATATCCATATTCTCACGTATCTACTCAACCTTTAAATTCACGCAAAGTATCAGATTATATTGATAATAGTAAATTATTTCAAATATATAAAATATTTTTAAATCACTACCTTTAATTTGC